TTTAGGCACTTCTCACAACCAATATTTTATTTTGGAATTTTTATTTTCTTCCATCATTGTTTGCACTTTTTTTGGTATTTTGTTTCTCTAGTCCTCTTGTTTATTTTTTTGTACTTCAAGTTTTTTTTTTTTTTTTTTTTTCTCATTCCTTTCTTCCATATGATCTCCATGCTTTCAATGAGATGGCACTTGGTAAATTCTATTTTTTTTGTATTCTTGGCTCTAATAATTTGATAGGTTCCGGAAATTGGGGGTGGCGACTGAAAGGACTTACAGCAACGGCAACATTTGGCAGTTTAACGGGAATTTTTTTGAGCCTCCAGTCCTATGTCTGTTGTTTTATCAGGTTTCTCAGTTCCAGGAAAATCACTTTGATCTTTAGGAGATTTTTCCATTGCTTCTTCAATTTCTATTTCATAAATACTTTTATCAGATTTATTCTCTGTACACTTGTAACACTTTTTTATTAAAATGAAAGCAGAAAGCACTACCCCATACCCATATAAGTAATGTAAAATGTCCGAGAACTTTACACCTACCTTTTCTCGGACACCTTTTCAGGTATACTACAATTTGACGCCTTTGTGGTTTATAGTGTCCGCAAACTGGTCCATATAGAATCTCGATACAGTCTTCTAATGTATCTAATAAGGAAAATTAAGTTGAAAATCAAATAGGCTAGAAAAAGATACATATAGTTTCAACGTGCCGGACCCATTGTCGCACAGAGTGGCCGAGAAGAGGAATCTGCCGATTTATAGGACCGGTTATCCGGACATCTAATAAAATAAACAAAATAATAATATTCATTAAATTTTTATGGTTATAATCGTAGATTAACATATTTATAACTTAAAAACCTCAACAAAATATCGAAAAATGGAGTAGGAACATTTTTACTTACTATTTCCTTCTTATAGCTTCACACTAGCAAACTTTTTCACTTGATCAAAAGGGCTGTGTTGAGAAAAACAGCAGATATATTATTATTTTTCTTAATTTGGTCTAGGCCCGTAAAGAGGGCGGTATTGCAGAAACTGGTGGGGAAATAGTGTTTGAAAGTAGGTATTACTCTAAAAAGAGGTTTGATATAATATTTTCCTATTTATTGGATATTTTGTCATAAAGTGTCCGACAACAGGGGGTGGCCGGCTAACAGGTACTTTCACCCTATGAGACTATTTCTCATATATTTTGATCAAAAAAAAGAAACCATGTATATCACTACCATACATGTGATGAGTCGGAGCATGCATCCGTTTTCCGACGTCCGACGTCCGATTCCCGAAAAACCTTCTAGGTATTCTGGCATAATCCTATAAAAATATGTTAAAATAGCGATGCGTCCCATCCGACCGTCCGATGGTACGATAGAGCTCCTATTGGCTGAAAAATTTCCCGCCACATTTTATCCGAATATTTCCAACTTTTTTCCGACGTTGCCGAGTAAATAATATTTTACTTTTGTCGCTTTTGTACATAATAAATAAAAATAAAAGTAAAAACAGAAAAAAAAAGAAAATTATTATGGGTCAGGGATTTCTTTAAACATCAAAAAACTCAAGGTGTTCTCCACAACTTGTTACAAGAAATGAGACTGACGGATCAGGAGGAGCATTTAACTGCCTAAAAAAATGTCCAGCAATACATTCCAAAATTTGCTAAAAATCATAACTTAATGTTAAGATAGGAGCTTTTTCGGATTTAAGTATTTTGCAGTACATAAAATATTCTCATATATTATTTTCCAATCTCATATAATTTCACAGGCTCTCCTATTTTCGAAACTCAAGTATCTGGCAACTCTAGCTGTAGGTATAAAGAAAAATCTAGAACAAAACGAGGCCGATAACTGCAACTAACAGCCTGCGGCTGATTACCTATATAATATAATAATAAAAAAATAAAAATGTTTTGACTAGAGAATAGAGATCTTATTAACATTGATTAAACCCTTGTCATTACTCTCAATTCAATGTAAAACATTTTAATGTTTCAATGCAATTATGCATGTTTAGAACCAACCAGGATAACTAATTCCTGCGCTTCGACTTCAGAAGATTGTATGTGTTGAGGATGTCTCTTAGTCTCTTGTAAAATTTTAAATGTTTTACTTTTCTGGTCATTAAGCGGTTTCGTATCTTTTCTACTGAAGAGCGTAGTGTCCTCTCGTCAGGGTCATGAAATTTCGTGAACGAAACTTCATTAGATTTCGCAGTCTTTTGTGAGCAAGTTGTTTTGGGTGTCTCCCGAATGTAAGAACATTAGTGCCCTGCATGACTGAAACATTTAATCGGGCATTCCCCATTGTAAGTAATCAAAACTACGAACTTTACTTCAGCAAACGTCAAAGGAATCTCCAATTCTTATAACACACAAAAAAAAGGCATGGTCTATTATTAATGGAAATAAGAGTTAGAAGTACCTAATCTTATTTCAACCTGTCTCCAATAATTTGAATATTCTTTTCGGTCTTTTGCTCCATAACTGAAGCGTTTTCGTCTCAGCTGGACTCTGGACTCTCGGTGTCAATTTGTCAAATACCTTACAGGTACGTCCCGAAGACTTTTTATTAGGGGGGTGGCGTAGGTAAAATCTCCCAACTGGTCTTTCTCAATTAAAAATCCCAACTAGCAGGCGCGTAGCCAGAAAATTCAGATGAGGGGGGTTTTTCGTTATTCAAATTAAGAAACATTGCATGACTTTAGGGGTGTCACCAAAAAAATTGCGCTGCAGGCGAAAATTTTGTAGAATTTCAAGGTCAAATGCTTTACATATATGGAAAGAATAAAATTTTGAGGGTCAAAGAGTAGGTAACATAAGTTTCATAAGGTCCTTCGTGACTTCACATTTTAGGTAGGAAAATTCGTTGTAGTCAAGCATGTATTTTTTTGAGATTGATAATTGATAGTATTTGTATTATAATTTCTAATAATTTCCAGAAGTGGTTTCTAATTATAATTTCTTTAACCCTCAAAACTCCTCTCGTGGCTACGCCCCTGCCAAGTATCGTTTTTTTTCAAGCTGTTTTTCATATTTTTATCATTTTTTGGAATATTTTTTCATTTTCCCCGTGAATCTTTATGTTTGCAAGTGTACCGATTCTCCTAACTTGTACCCGATATCCCAACTGGTTGGGGGGACGTCCTCCCTGGGTGCTTATTCTTGAAACAGGGGAGCAGCGGTCCCAGGAGAACGAAGGTTTTGTCTTTGCTCCTATACCCTGGTTGGGGGGGACGTCCTCCCCCCCATACTTGAGTCCCTGATCCCTTACAGTATCTGACCATTCTGACATATAAAGGTGCCTCTCTAGACTGTATTTCCTTCTTCTTGGCACCAGTCGATGTTCCGAAACTAAGAGAACTTCCCAATATCTTCACACAAAAAAACCGGCAATATTCCACTGCCCACTCCCAAAAGCACCTTCGGTGAAGAGTTCTTTTGTTTGTTCAGCTAATGAGAATGAGGTTCACTTCATATATCAAGTTTTAGTAGGTACCATCGTCACCAAAAGTATCTGGGACACAAATAATGCATAATAATCTCCTGGACTAATTTTACTGTCATTCATTTCAATGCATTTGCCAAGTTCGAGCGAGTTCTCTGGTCACTTTGGCGAACGTCGATAATACATCATGGATTATTATTAATTTTTTTTGAAAATTTACAAATTTATATTAGTGTTTGATCGTTTGTCGGAGATGCTGCAATAAAAATTAGGAAATTCCAATATGTTACCTACCATTACATAGAGAAAAATTGAAAATCCACCAAAAGGCAAAAAAAAAACACAAAACAATATTTATATAACCACCTATTATAACATGTACACCTCCATTTAGGCAACTGTGTTTATAGATTTCTTGAAATCCAGTCTGCTGGTTTTGCATTTTTCAAATATACAGGGTGTCCGAAAAGGTTTTTACGATTTCCTTGTTATATATCTCGAGAACCGTTAGAGTGGGGGAATCCGAGCAGATGCAATGCCGAACGTGCATCTTGGAATTAATGGAATTTCAGTAACCATGGAGCGATACGCAGTGCCGCAACGCGCTTTCTGTGTAAAAGCATTTTATGAGAACAACCATTCTTACATCCACGTTCGTCGCCTCGAAGAATGGTAACGTTAATTACCCCGCCAGAAGTCCCGATTTAACTCCCATGGATTTTTTTTGTGGGGTTTCCTTAAATCAAAAGTGTAAGTTCAAATTCCTGCAAATTTGGATCAGTTAAAACAAAGAATTCGTGCCACAAGAACTCTGCAATCCGCGTGTTTACCAATTCCAGAGTTCGTTTGGAGGAGACGATCCGCATAGGAGGGCGGCACCTCGACGGCATAATTTGTCACAAATAAAATTTCCACAGTTTGTAGTTTATTTTATTATTTTTTATTTTTCAAATAAATCTCAAACTTGATAAGTTATAATTTTTACAAATCGTAAAAACCTTTTCGGACACCCTGTACTTAATAAACTAGTAACGTCACATGCAACCACTTGTTTCCTTAGTGAGCACCATTTTCATGTACTTACCATTTTTAATCAGCAGTTACCTGACATAAACGAGAAGAAGACCTAAAACACCTAAAAAAAAAACAAAAAACAAAAACTATTGGCGATTTCGCCTCAGTTCGGTACTCCAGTTTGGTCTTTCAAACAGGTTCCAATCAATTTCGGATGGGAGAATGATGCTGTCACAGCAACTTTGGTAGGCGCCTTGGTTTGTCAGATGCTATACCGCGGTTTGACTGGGTAGTGGAGGTTTGGTAGCTTTTTGTCTCATGTCCAAATAAACATGTCAAAGCCAAAATGTACCAAAAGCCCTATCCACTAAATTCGGATGAGATTGTTGAGCTACGTCACTTACGTACCAATTGGTTAACCATTCGCCTACCAAATAGCAAATGAAAATCTGGGGTGAAATCGCCATATGTCATACTGATAAGTGACCAAGTTACCCCAGGATGACCAAATAGCCTCAGATTAAGGTAAATATAAGTTGTTCTTCGAAAGCAACTTATATGAAATTATTCTTCTGTACTATGATTTCAAAAATATTTAGGTGTAATTTTTAAATGCATTATATGGCACAACTTGCATGTATGCCTTACATAACAAACAAAAACTACAAGCACATACATAACTATACAAACTAAAACTGCTATTTAAATTAAACAAAATAATGGCCTATAAAATTCATATTTTACTTATTTTAAAAGAATGTTTCTATATATAAAGAAAAAATAAATGTAAATAAATGTAAATGTAAATAAAATAAAAATACCTTCTTATTAAATTTGAATAATCACTGATAAAAAATAAAGTTTGCAACTCGCTGGAAGTAGACTTTGTGAACTTGTGGCTACCATTCTCCAACTATGCATTCTGCATAATTTGAAGCTGAAAAAAAAATTTGGATTATTTTAAATTTATTCTCAAAATCTTGTGAAAAAACTCATCACTCACCCATCTTTGAATAAGTATATGTGTCTATTTATCTTGGTTTTTTCATTAAACTTGCATGTTTCTCAATTATTTCAGTTATATAAGTATCATTCCTGTCTCTAGCTACATCAAGAGGAGTTTTATTTAACAATGTATATTTAATGTGGATATTAGCGCCTTTTTGCAAAAGATATGAAACAACTTCTGGATTGTTGCTTTCTGTAGCTACATACAAGGGTGATTTTCCAGCATTGTCTTGAGCATCTATATTTGCTCCATTTTGTAGCAATGAATTTATTACTTCTATATGACCATGTCGAGAAGCGACATGAAGAGATGTTTCGCCATCTGCACATTTCTTATCAATCTCTGCATTAAACTTTAAAAGAAGTTCTAGTATCATCCAAGCAATATTAGCATTAGGGTGTTTACATGAAGCATGAAGTGGTGTTTTTATATTTTTGTCAGTGGCATTTACATTTGCTCCATGTTTGAGCAATATTTTTGCAATCTCAAAATGTCCTCTTTCAGCTGCAAAATGAAGTGCTGTCTGGCCATAATAATAATCTTTTATGTCCATTTTTGCACCACGGGCTAATAAATGTTTTACTAGTTCCCTTTTGCCTGACCAAGCTGCCACATGCAATTGGGTGTCGCCAGAAAAATCTCTAGTATTTATTTCTCTTGCCCTACTTGGATCTGCATCATGAATTTTTGTTTCGCCATTTATTGAGCGTTTCTTACTCGATCTTTTATCCAAATTAACTTTCATGTCCTCATCTAAAGCTGTTGCAGGCTCATTGTTATCTAAATCTTGTACATTCATGCGTACTTGATTTTCATTAACATTTCTACAAATATTGGGATTAGATTTCATCGATATTTCATTTTGTTCCCACAGTTCAGTAAATTTTAATTTTATAAAGTTCGCCATTCCAATCTTCATCATGATACTTTCCAAATTCTTTGAATTTTTAACAATAAAAATTATTTTTTTTGATTCAGCCTTCACATTATTTACCCATGACTCCAGTATGTTGAAATGCTCATCTAATTGCCCATCTCTGTCAACTTTGCAAACTAATAAATTGGGAAAATTTTTAGTCCAGTCATTATTTTGTTGATGGGACATACTAGCAAAATCACTAAAATCTGTGAATATTTCAGCCAAATTTTGCTTCAAAACTGATTCTTTACTTAGAGTTCTCAATACGCGAGCTAGTAAAACTCTGGTCGCATCAGCGTCTCTCGTTTCTAAACAAAATATAGAACCTTTATCATCCTGTAGGAATCCTTTGGTTGCATTTTCCATTGCATACTCCATCACTTCCAGTTTATAGATAAAGGCTTTGGAATTGGCTTTTATAGTCTCAACGCTTGGGACAGCCATTTTTTGTTTTTAGAAACCAAATGAAAAATATTAAACACTAGAGTTCTTTATTCGGCAAGACTACACTACAAAACTACAACTAGAAGACACAAATTCTAAAAGATTCAAAAAGAAAACAAAAGAAGCGGGAAAAAACAGTGGAAAAAAACTACCTGTAGAGTACTGTCACTACTGTCTGTCCAGTAAAGTGCGTTCGAGAATGTGGTTCGGAATCGGTCTGGGCGTCACCGACTGCACACCAGCCGTTCGAAAATGAATTAAGCCTAGTACTCATTAACTGCGAAATTCGCACTTTTTTGACATTGCTTCGACAATTTGACCTTTTTTGCGTGAATCAAACGTCAAATTGTCGAAGCAATGTCAACAAGGTGCGAATTTCGCAGTTATGAGTACTAGGCTTTACGCATTCCAAACTTAGGGCGGGTATTATAAAACTACTTTAAGAGTTACTTAAAGTTAACTTCTGAAAATACAAGTAATTGAAAAAGTTAACTGTCAAAGCAGCTTTATAATACCCGCCCTAAGACAAGAAATTCCAAATCACGTTACTTTTGACCTTTTGACATACAATAGTTGTATTCTTAGCCGCTTTCCAGTATGGGAGTGTGACGCCCGGAGCAACTCGGGGCGTTGAGCTCCCGAGCTGTACGTACGCATCAACCTGTCAGGTGTCACATCCGTGGGTGGCTATTTATTTATTTATTTCTTGTTATATCTCAAGATTGAACATTTTAAAAAATATAGTTTTGATTCTCTTTCATCTATATATATAAAAATCAAAGTTCACGGGGTATCCGGATATGCGCTCTAAAACCACTTATCCGATTACGATGAAACTTTGGTAGGTTATTATGGCCATCCCAAGGAAGGTTTGTGGATAGGTTACGCATCTCGGAAAAAGAAATTAATTTTGAATTAATTATTAATTTAATTGTAAACAAACTCATTCACATTACATAACAACATAACCCAACTTTTTTTGACAGCATGAAATAACATTGACATATTTCATTTATTTCGGCTTGCATTCAACCGACGTAACTTTATTATTTTTTAAATTCAAGAACGGCTGGACCGATCTTGAATTAATACCACGTATCTCTATATAAGGTGAATTCGATTGACCCAGATTAGATCGATTTGGGTTCAATTTAAGTGAACTTCTTCTGATCTAGATCATTTTTTTGTTGATGAGGGTGCACTGATCCAGCTTGAATCGAACACAGTGTGGTTCATTTAAATTGAACCAGATCGATCTAATCCGGTCAATCGAATCGGCTATAGAGGAGAGTGATATAGGCTATTTTTTATCCCGAAAAAATAAGTTCGGTTGCGTAAAACTCTGATACACTGGAACGCCTATAAACAGCCCGAGGCGGTCTAGAGCAGCTCTGGAGTGCTTAAAATGCGTCACTGAACTCACTGGCAAGCGACTCTGATATCCGGATTAAAAAAAAAAAATTAAATAGAAAATCAACAACAAAATTTGAAAAGAAGTGTATTATTTCAAAATGTATTTACACGCTGGCAACGCAGCGGGTCATTAGCTAGTTTATGATAAATAAAAAAACAAACTGCATAAACAAACAGATAATTATTTTTATCCCATTTTGACGTTTAAAAATGACATTATTGAACGCATAACAATAAAAGGTAAGTAGACGTTTATCACCTCTGTGATTTAAAAACATTTTAACTCACTTTCGGCATTTTAAATCACTCTGCCCAACTAAAAATCTGAAACCTCAGTGATTTAAAATATTTTTAACTCACTCCCGGAATTTTTCCTTGTACTTTATTTTTTAAATTTCCACAAAATGGGATAAAATTTTGTATACATCACGTGAGTTAAAATGTTTATTCATTCGAAGAAAATTAACTCACTCGCTAGGGCTCGTGGGTTAAACTTTCTTCTCATGAGTAAACATTAATTTAACTCACTTGGTGTATAAATAACTATTAAAATTTGACATATTTGACACTAAGACAGGCGTCTCACGTCATGATACTGGAACGGTACAAATCTAGTGCGTGGCGCCCCCGGGGTGCTCTAGAGCGCGCCAATGTGCATACTGGAAAGCGGCTCTTTTCACACCTACGAAAAGCTCCGGAACAGCTCTGGGGCTTCACGCGCTTATTCCTTTCGAAAAGTGTTTGTTGCACCACGCATCTGTTCCCTGCAAATCGGGGGCGACTAAACACCGAGGCGAGTAGCTCGAGTGTTTAAAGTTTAAAACTCTTGAAAGGAATACAACTAAGGGCGGGTATTATAAAACTGCTTTGACAGTTAACTTTTTGAATTACATGTAATTCCAGAAGTTAACTTTAAGTTAACTCTCAAAGTAGTTTTATAATACCCGCCCTTACACACCTAGGAGGAGCTCCGGAACAGCTTTGGGGCGTTACGCCCTTAGGAGGGCGGGTATTATAAAACTGCTTTGACAGTTAACTTGAAGTTAACTTTTTGAATTGCATGTAATTCCAGAAGCTAACTTTAAGTTAACTCTCAAAGTAGTATTATAATACCCACCCTTAATCCTTTTTAAAAGTATTTGTTGCACCCCGCATCTCTCACTTTTAAAATCCGAGTCGACTAACACCGGAGCGAGTAGCTTGCAAACTCTTGAAAGGAATACAACAGAACCGTTTTACACGGCAAAGTTTCTTCACGAAATTACTTACGAAATTGTTGCCGAAATATTTTGTACGTCAACTTTTCCTGTTTTACACGACAAGAAAAACTTACGAAATATTTCACCAATAAACTTTAAGAAAATGTTCTATAGTTTTTGTGGGCGTGGCCGAAAATATGCGTGAGTTTCGGCGCACACTAAAGCCTAGTACTCATAACTGCGAAATTCGCTTTTTTTCGACATTGCTTCGACAATATGACGTTTGATAAACGTATAAAACGTCAAATTGTCAAAGCAATGTCAAAAAAGTGCGAATTTCGCAGTTATCAGTACTAGGCTTAAAGCCTAGTCTCCATAGACGCGAAATCGCGGAAAGCGAATTTTTTAAGTGTCATTTTTTGGTGGCTATTTCCGAGCAAATTATTCCCATGTCTCCATAAGCGCGAAATTCGCGTTTTATTTAACAGGTTAAGGTTACCTATGTGTTGTTGTTTGTAATCAATTTGAATTCGATTTAAATGCTTTGAATTTCAAACACTAATCTTTGAAAACCATGAAAGTGATTACTAAAAAACAAAAAAAGATATGTGTCTTGGTGTTGTCTTAATTACATTTAAGTCCCTCCTATTATAATCTTCCTCATCAACCAGCAAGCTGTAATTTATGTCTGTTTTCGGGTCTACAATATTCAATTCTTTGGCAGTATCCATTCTTTATTAGGTATCTACAAGTACAAAACACATCAACGACTCACAGAGAACAGAGCACATACCGACAAAAACATAAACAAAACTAAACTGAAAGTAACACCACATAACCTCATTTTTTTTTGGTGAAATTTCGCGGAAAGTTAAAAAATAGTTAACTTTTTTGCGACGCCGCAAGAAGTTAAAAAATTCGCGAATTTTTCCCGCCATAAAAAAATCAAATGTTAAATGTCAAATTCCAACCAATCGGAAAATATCCGCAAAAAAAAATTCGCGATTTCGCGTCCATGGAGACTAGGCTTAAGGCAGTTTCTTTTTCGTGGAGCCTATGAATGCGTCATTGAATTTCCTATGTAATAGATAAGGATAGACTGCTCATCGGCGAAAAAAGTAATGCACCCAAAAACAGCTGGGCAAATAAAAAAAAATAAAAAATTTTATTTATGGAAGGAAAAAACAAATTCAACTTTATGAAACTGCAGGAGGGTACAAAGATTCAACAACAATTAGGCATTCCAACCTCCTGTCAAAGAAACCCAAAATGGCCGGTCATTGGCACACAATTATAGGTAAACACGACGTTAAATATGTTCAATGTATATTTGAAAACATTTTTTTGGAGTTCCAGGATTTTGTGATAATTTCAATTTCAAGCACGCAACGCATTTTAAATGAATTATTTAGCCAAAGAAGACAAAAATGGATTAGTGCTATGAAATTTTGTTTTCTCCATATACCGACCGGTTTGCAGCTTCTTTGCAAGTTGCTTCACGTTCACCTAATAGGGTTTTCATTTTATTTGTACCTACTGCTTACTGCTTTTTTTGCTTCAGGCGATCTCAAGAGCAGATCGGCATTTACTTGTCCCTCATAAATAGCAGGTCCTAGCAGATATTTCTGATTTTTCGAGCACGTAGAGCAAGTACAAATGAACAGCCTATAAATATCTACTTTGAATGTAACCGTACTTTTTGTTTGGTTCTAAAATCCCATATATTTATATTGGCCGCCGCCATCTTGTTCCCAACCTCTTGTTACTTTTAAATATGAATATATGGGATTTAGGTGAGCATCCATCATAAATTATGGAAAACAACGTATTTGATGGAGATAATAATGAGCCGTTTTCTCGCGTCCACTTTTTTCAAAACAGGTTTGAAACGGGCAATGGTAGCACCATTGCCGTTTCAAAAAATGTTTCGAACCAATGTCAAAAAAGTGGCCACGAGAAAACGGCTATGGTCATCAAATACGTCGATTTCAATTTTTTATGATAGATGTCCATTTAAATCATATATATTAATTTTTAAAAGTAACAAGAGGTTGGGAACAAGATGGCGGCGGGACCTCTATTGTCGCCACCTTAGATTAGGGAAGAAAGTGGATACCGCGCATCCTATAGGCGCACTGATTCGATTCTGTTACCACGCCGCCCTTGTTTATGTGGCAGACAAAGCGAATGCAGTGTTTGGTATTTTTCGTGTATTTTCCAGTGAAAATCAGTGAATTGAAAAATAGAGAATTTTACGATGGGGAATTGTTCAGCCTATGGATTTAAAAGTTGCAGCGAGAAAAAGGAAGCAGGATATTTTTGTATAAATAAAATTTGTTTAAAAAAATCCTGTCTTGTCATGTTTTATTTTAAACTAGCTAATGACCCGCTGCGTTGCCAGCATGTAAATAAATTTTGAAATAATACACTTCTTTTCAAATTTTGGCCGAGTTCGTTTTTGTCATCTTTTTTGTCGATTTGCTCTGAAATTTTGACAGGCACGTGACTGGATCAGACAGTTTCAATTTATAAATCACGTGCCTGTCAAAATTTCGGAGCAAATCGACGAAAAAGATGACAAAAACGAACTCAGCCTTTGTTGTTGATTTTCTATTTAATTTTTTTTTTAATCCGATATCATAGTCGCTTGCCAGTGAGTTCAGTGACGCATTTCAAGCATTCCAGAGCTGCTCTAGAACGCCCCGGGCTGTTTATAGGCGTTCCAGTGTATCAGAGTTTTACGCAACCGAACTTTTTTTTTCGGGATAAAAAAATAGCCTATATCACTCTCCTCTATAGCCGAGTCGATTGACCGGATTAGATCGATCTGGTTCAATTTAAAGTCTGTTTTTTTTTTAAAGATAATTCCCCAAGTCAAAAATTTAGTAACTATGTTGGCAACACAAACCTTTTCTACACAAAAAATTTGAAAACATTGACAATTTCACATTGTATTGCCAACATAATGTCATTTTGACTTTTATCTTTAAAAAAAAAAACACACATTAAGTGAACCACACTGTGTTCGTTT